AGGAGGAGGAGGAGGAGGAGGAGGAGGAGGAGGAGGAGAAGGAGGAGGACGACAACGACGACGACGGAGACAGGGACGACGTGAGGGAGAAGAGCTGATAAAAGAACCAGCTGATGCTCGGTTTAATTAGTTAGATTGATGTTCTTAGGGAGACGGCGAGAAATCGTAGGGACCCGCGAGCGTCTAGAGGCCGCTTACGCGGAAGAACGAATAAACAGAGGAGTTGAAGTTCGATCCGCTAATGCGCGCGAATGCCGCCCGAGATAACCGCCGCGGATTTTTACGAAAAGACGCTTACGAATGTATTTTTTATGACCCTTTTATCCGTTGCTAACGTGCGAGCTGTTCGAGAAGGGAGGATGCGGAATGTGCTCTTTGGTTGGACCGAACGTAACGTTGCCTGGATATATCTTTAAGAGAACGCGTTGTGTGGGTGGTTTTTATTATTCTTATTCGAGAGAGCGAGCGATTACTTCTCTCACACTCTCTCTCTTATTTCTTTTTTTTTTGTGGGATTAATAGATAACGCGGGGTGATTTTATAACATTAACATCAAAAGCCTTATATACATGCAGGGTGTCTTTCTCGAGTGAACCGTCGCCGTCATTGACGAGACGGAGGAATCGCATGTGTGCGCGCGGTTTGCAACCGGTTTATTAACAATCGCTTCTTAATATCGCGAGCGTCCTTTCATGGCGATTCCGTAATGTCCCGTAATGACAGCTACGATTCCTATTAAAACGAGCATCCGTTACGTTTGCCACGTTTGTAATACGTCTTCTCGTCGATGAATCATCACGCGACCCTTTCGAGCAATTGCGCGATTGTACCCAAACGCAGACAAATAATTAGCATATTAATTTGTATGTAAGAAGAGATAAGACGATAATATGTTTGTTTCCGAATCGAAACTTTTTGGTTTCACATTAACTCTGCAAATTCCACCGAACTTGAAGGACCAATGAAGAATCTCGAGACACAACACTACACAAGTTATTGCTCTACTTTGACGCTACAAAAGATAATTGGTTGCTATTTTATAAGTCTTAAGGAAAGGGATTTAAAAATTACTTAATATTTTCGATTATCTAAATATCCCATCTATATTTAATCTTTACTCGTAATCTTAAAAAGCAATGCATTAATTACAGTAACTAACTCCGCTGCAGATAAAATAAGCACGATAAACAGATATCATATAATTAATACAATATAATTAATACAATAAGTGCATGTATACATTTCCACATGTACACATATATCAAATCATTTATTGTAAAAGTTTTCGATTTTAATTAACGTTCGACAAATTTAACGAAAATAAGAGCATAGTTGCGGTTTAGAATGGCATAATCGTAGTCAGTTAATTTTATAAATAATTATAAATAATTATAATATATATATATGTTTCTCTAATATATCTCTCCATAACCACAACCTATAAATAACTTTAAATAACACTAAATAAAATATTGATCCAACCAAATAATAATTTATGAATACTAATTTGTAATTCATTATATTCTCAAACAAATGTGATAAATAATTTTCGATTATTAATACCGATCATAAAATATAACGGTACAACATTGTTAAATACATAATTATCCTCCTTCCCCCCTGCATTTGCCCTTATAACTCCTCTCTTTTCATCCTTTTGAGTTTCTAAATTCTATCAGCATTTCTAAAGGTAATAAAAAATGATAACAAAAAATTGTGAAAAAAATTTATTGTTTAATCTATTAATTAATTTCATTATTTACCGACAAAGTATTTACTTATCTCACATATTCTATTTGCAGCTGAATGTGTTACATAATTAAAACATTGCAAATTGAAATTAAAAATAAACATTAAATATATATAGATAGAAGACTAAAATAAAATGTAAAATAATTTTCAAATAAATCCTTCTTTAAGGACAATTCACAATACAGAGAAAATGACAATAAATGATCACTTGTAACGTTAAAATAGGACAACAGTTTGTATAATATTATGTATGGAGACTCTACGGTGATTTCTTCATTTCGACGGAATTTGTGCAATGTTAATGTGCAACTAAAATTCCACTCGGTTTGTGATGTAAGCGAGCGAATATGAGATACTGTACTTGGCATCTTAGCGAGCGTTATCATATCCAGAGTAAAATTCATATCCGTAGAAAGAGAGAGCGTATAACGATAATACATTTTACTGAACCTCTAGGAAAATATTAGGTGTCACATCTCGGTTATCTTATGTATTTTTTTAAATTACTTGTAGACGAATACTGTACTTATACCATACATGTCGGTGATCATGCGTGACCACGTTATAGATATAGCGTAAGTGGTTTAACTGCGAGGAATGACCGATGTATCGCTTTTTAAATAAGACGCGCTAAGTAAGTCGGCTTTGTCATACCAGTTTTTGTATAGAATGTAATCAACTGCCATCTTGGTAAATACGTATGTACATTTCAGTGATGATTACGATGATAACGATGAGGACGATGATGATAATGAGAATGATAACTATAATGGAATATGCACATATATAAATATATAAAAATGTACGTTATTATATGTAAAATTATCAGGAATTGACAACAAATGCTCTTATATGTCATATAATTTCTAGTACCGTTACAAAGGTCATTTAGTTGATGTTCCTCGCAAAACTACGAACCATATCTTGCTCTGTAATTAAGACAGTCGTAACAAGAAGGGACCTCGGGAGAGTTAGGATGTTAAAGTTGAGGTAAAAAATAAAAAAAGAACAGGCGAACGATTCGATTATCTTAAACAATGCTGTAATGTCCATCGAGCGTGAAGTACAAGTCTTAGTTACATCGCGTGGTTTATTGTTACGGAGACAGTAGCATATCTCACGCAGAGCAAAAATATGTTAAATGTACCTATTTAATGAACTCTGTATATCACAAAATGCTCAATATAATAACTCTACAATAACTATATTAAAAGAATGTTGTTGTTTATAGAACGAAAAAAATATATTACGAGAATACAATGAGAAAATGTGCTCAAATTGGATAATATAGCTTTGGAAAAAATGAAACAACGTGTTGACAAATAAGAGAAAAAAAACGATATTGTGCATTTAGAGCAATGACGTTCGTTTTGACTTTAAGTCTAGCTTAAACGAGTGTATTTTTATGTATTACCAAAAAGCGACAAATATAGAGGTTTGTCGTTCGATGAATATCAAAATTGCTTTTTATTCTCACCTCTGCCCTTTGTACATTATAAATATTACGAGATTAATTGATATATCCATAACGTATCATAATGTATTTCAGTTAAGTGGCTGAAATATTGTAGGAATGTTACGACCAAAATAAAATGCTAAAGGCCATAAATACACAGCAAAAGGCCACATATGGGCTTTTTCTTTCACCAATCCTAGCACATTTCCAGAAAGTACCTTGAAATCTGCGAGCAATTCAATGAACATACATGGATTATTCTTATTATGTATGTACATGTATTTTGGTAATATCTCTGCATTCAAGAACATATACTCACCCAACCTTTCCTAATCGTTTATCAAATAAATTAGGTACTAGCGATCGGATATAGGTGCAAGTACATATCAGTAATAATATTACTGTAAGCAGACTCTGAAAATTGAAAATGGCAGACTGCCCAACGAAAACTATATTAGTATCCTTCAATAAACATCCACCCTTAATTATATTAAGCAAAAAGATTAGTTAAGAGATTATATATATTATTGTATATATGTAACACTAGTTCACTTAAATTAATAACAAAATATTTTTATTATATTTTACACGGCTATCTCTAAAATATTTATCTAATAACGACGAAAAAACGTTTCACAAAGAAAACAAGTTTAAACTTGTTTATAGATAATATAGTCAAACATTACGTGTAGAGGTTATGTGATATATTAATTGAGAATTTAAGTTGTAGTATAAAAACATTTATAATTACCATAACGTCAAATCACGTAAATAATTTGATAAACTTGAAGAATCGTAGAAAATTTCAATGACAAACAAACTTCATCTGTGTGACAACGCTGATACACAGTTGTCAACCTAATAAGTTAGTTCTTCTCAACTGCACTTTCTGTGGCTGCGTTCCGAAATTCACTTCCAGTACTGAAAATCTATAGTTCATGTTACATATACTATAGAATTTCAGTACTGGCAGTGAATTTCGGAACGCAGCCTGTGTTACAGTATAATAAGAAATATAAAGCCAGCGGCACACGGTGCTTATTTTCGTGCTGGATTGCTTGCTGGATGGAAATACTCTGTTTTGATTGGTGTATTTCCATCCATCTTCAGAAACGCACCAATCAACAAGCAATCCAGCAAAACAAGCACCGTGTGCCGCTGGCTTAAATCACAAGATATTATAGGCGAGTTTTTTAATTCATCGATGGATCCATTGCATGATGCGTAAATACAGCGAAACATTGCATTTGCGCATCATGCGATGGATCCATCAATGAATTAAAAAACTCGACCTATAGCTGCGTTCGGAAACACATTCTAGCCTGGTTTACATCGTGCACTTGATACGCGTACTAAACAGTAACTTTTTATTAGATAATCTTAATATCGACGATATATATAAACAACGGTATATTAAGCTGGTATAATACTCATCAAGAAAACGTATTGTATTGATTAAACGCGTCGCCGTTGATATGCATTGTCGATATTAAGATTATCTAATGGAAAATTACTATTTAGTACGCGTATCAAGTGCACGATGTAAACCAGGCCATTGTGTGCACACTACTAGACGATAGCCGTTGGAGTGAGCGAAATACAAGAGTGAGATAAAAAGAGAGGGAGAGTACTCGAGTGACGTTTCCGAACGCAGCATAAGTAGCCAATGGCTGCGTTCGGAAATGCACTGCCAGTACTGAAAATCTATAGTTCATGTTACGTATATTATAGAATTTCAGTACTGGCAGTTTCGGAACGCAGCCACAATCGATTCCCTAGTTTGCTTGCTGGATAGAAATATTCTGTTCTGATTTGTGTATTTCAGAAGATGAATGGAAATGCACCAATCAAAAAAGAGTATTTCCATTGAGCAAGGAAACAAACACTGGCTGGTTTATATCGTGCACTTGATACGCGTAAATAGTAACTTTCTATTAATCAAGTGCACGATGTAAACCAAACCTCTGTCTGCGGTAGACTTTATTCTATCGATTGTCAACGGGTGCTTTCCAGCTACGTATAGTGTGTTACACAAAAGTTTATTGGTTGTATATTATCTTACAAGATATTTTAGATAATATGTGACCAATAAATTGATACCAATAAATTGAGTAACACCGTGTAACAAGCAAACCAGCACGAACACCGCTGGCTTAAATAAAGCCAGCGATACACGATGCTTATTTTCATGCTGGATTGCTTGCTGGATGGAAGTACTCTATTCTGATTGGTTCGTCTTCAGAAATGCACCAATCAGGACAGAGTATTTCCTTCCAGCAAACAATCCAGCATGAAAACAAGCATCGTGCGCTGCTGGCTTAAATGTAGGAATGTTATATACAAAGGCCCATATTCTGAATCCTCTTTTATCGATAAAAATGCCTTAAATGTAACTTCTCAGCCAAACAGGTGATTCCTAAGCCTCTTCTAAAGGCATTTTTATGGATAAAAGAGGATTGAGAATATAGGCCAAAGTGTCAAAATATTTATCGTCCAAATGCATGAGATTGCATTCGCATAAAGCATTGCATTATGTAAATATCATTATATTTATGTAACAATTTTTTATAAACGATATAGAGAAATATAAATAGTCTAAATATCAACTTTATTCCAGTAAGAAACGTTGTGTTACGCAAAGCTATTTCATTGGCTATATATCATCTTAAAAGATATCTTAGGTATTTTGTAGCCATAAAATGGCTTTGTGTAATAATATTTTTGGAAAATGGCCTCTATTTGCGTTGCAAGTACTTCAAAGCAATGGGTGAATCAATTATATTAGTTTATTGGATGCATTTGCGATGTCAAGCGAGGTGTGTCCTATAATTTAGCGATACAAATCCATCGAAATGTTCACATCGCCTTTGATTGGCAAACCTACTTTGTAGCACGATTCTGGTTTTCTCGATTGCCAGCCCTGCTAAGGGAAATGAAAATAGGGGGGGCCAAGCGAACGGCCTACCGCCGAATGTTTTGCCCTATTGTTCAGGATGTCGCGAGAAGTGGAAGATTTGTAGTGATTTCAATTAAATGAAAAGCGAGAACTTTAGTAGCGATGCACCATACGTTTATCGAGATGGGACAAGTATCTTACCAGAAGTGCAGACTGCGGTAATACCGGTTAAAAGCGTTGAAGGAAGCAACGGGCAAGTCTTTGTCATGGACATGCAAGCCTCTAATGGTAACGCACTTGTTTTCGCATGCGGCATATTCAGCTCGCGCCCAACCGGATTGTATGCTCGCGGCGATTATACCTCGGCCGAATTTTCTCGTTCCTTAATGCGCCGGACGATTGCATAGGTTGTAAGTTGCATAAGGAAATAAACTGCCAGTGGACAGGTTAAATAAAAGTATCATTTTATCGAGATATCCTGGCGTCGCTTTTCGATGTAAACGATATCGAAATTTTTATGTGAAAAAGCGAGAATAAGACGTACTCAACGCAAACTCTGTAAATTCTACGTCGGTCTTGTAATTATGTGTCGTTACATTAAGTACAATTATAATTTGTACTTTTAATGTCTATTGCAGCATACGAGTCGACCTCGAATAATCTCGAGGTTCGGCAGTATCGTTAGTCACTCCGTCTCTCATTTCAGACTTGATGTGACATAGTATGGATGAAATGTTCTGTTTAAAGAATATTTTTGCACTAACTAATTGGATTTAAGAGTAACGGCTGCTGAATTATGTGAATATAGGAATGGATATTTCTCTGAATACAGTGTATACTTCCATCCCTGGGTATTCGGAACTAGGGATGATATGGATGGGAGATGTGATGGTTCATAGAGATGCCACTCATGAGCTTGCCATGCTGGATCCCAGTCAAACAGAAAACTCCTTTTATTCACACAGTTCACATCCATACGAAGATATCAGAAATCATGTTACACCCACTACCATGGTACGCTACATACCCCAGCAATTCTCAAACGAATGTTCTGAACCTGATGAAGCAATGGAAGCTGTAGATGCCAATGAGATACAGCAAGTATGTTAAATTCTTTTTTCTTAAAGTATAAAAGTATAAAAAGAAAAAATTTGTATTAACACCTATACTTTTTCATTGTTATGTTAATATTCTTTATTATTTTTACATCAATATATTAATCTCTTATGTACACAATACATATATGTATATATTAACACTCTTTATTTATAGGGATATGATACACAAAGTGAAAGACCAGAAATAAGCGAATACCTAAGTATAGAAGACTACATGGGTGATGAAGAACGTGAACAAATTGTGACCAACGCAGCAACTCAAACTACTCAAGACGGTCGCAATCGAAAAATAAAGCCTATAAAACACCCTGGACTTGTGTTGAAAACACCAATTGCTTATCAACCTCATACAGATCTGAATTTCATTCCTATTCGTAAAGATGGTATAGGTAAGTACAACTGTGTTCACTGCAAATATATGACACAAAAATATAGGACATTTATCTGTAGAATGCAAATCTTAAAACTGAATGTAATGTTGACATATATTGCACAGCTGTTTGCGAGAAGTGCGGTGCTATTGGAGTTAAACACGCCTTTTACACGAAAGAGCGTAGATTTTGCAGCAGAGCATGCGCACGTTCCTCGGAACATGCTGCCGATTCAACATATAGTCCATCCCATTCGGTTGATCAGATGGTGTCTATGAACCAAGAATCCCTCAACGAAACGAAAGTACGGACGGATGTAAGACAATGTCACTTCATTCTGGATAACAAATCTATGACAAAATAATACATAAAATGACAATATAATTAAATGACAATATAATTCTTTCAGATGGTTATAAAGGAAGAAGTAGATGTAAAGGAATTCATTGAACCAAACAAAGTTAAATTAGAACCAGTAATCCTGGAAGATTTACCAATTAGGAGGAAAAGAACAGCTGATATGGCTGGTTCTTATGACTGGACGTCGCAACTTTACGAGCCTGGATTTTGCGCCGCACCAGTTTCTTGTTTCAAACATGTGAGTATTTTATGAGGAATTTAATTGTACATATTGTACTTTACAATATTAAATATATTGTACATCTCAATACTTATTTATACGACAATTTTTGTGAACATACGACAAGATTCTCTGTTTATTTTTATTATGTTTATATAATTGTATTATGTCATTAATCCTTGATTTTAGGTCCCTATATCAGAAATATGGGACAACATCACAGTGGGTATGAAGGTAGAGGTAGAGAATACCGATTGTGATGAAGTATGCGAGGCTTTCCCGGACTCTTTTTGGGTCGCAACTGTATTACGTATATGCGGATATAGAGCTCTGTTAAGGTACGAGGGTTTCGGACACAACCCAGACAAAGATTTTTGGGTATCTTTGTGCTCTAATGACATTCATCCTGTTGGTTGGTGTGCTACAATTGGGAAACCTCTTATTCCACCTAACAGTACGTATAATCGAAATTATTTCTAACAAAATGACTAAGCACGATTAAGAAGAACAAATCGAGTGTGTTTGCTGTAACGATTAAGAAGAACAAATCGAGAGTGTTTGCTGTAACACGTGAGCAAGCCTGATGTATTAAATCCATTTTCGCAGCGATTGCAGACAAGTACACAGACTGGAAGGACTTCTTGATGAGACGATTAACCGGTGCGAGAACATTGCCGACCAGTTTTTATAATAAGGTGAGCGAGAGTATGAAATCTCGCTTCAGGTGCGGGCTTCATTTGGAAGTGGTGGATAAGAACAGAATCTCACAGGTGAAAGTGGCGACGATACAAAAAATCGTCGGCAAGCGTCTGCATGTGAGATACTATGATTCACCTCCTGAGGATAATGGATTTTGGTGTCACGAGGACTCACCTCTCATACATCCCGTCGGTTGGGCCATGAGAGTGGGACAAGCACTAGATGCGTATCACGAGTACTTGTGCCGTGTCTCCACGTTGAGGTTGTCCGAGGACGATGCGACGGAGAATCTCTTTTATGTGCCAAAGAATCATCCCTCGCACCTGAGATATATGTTTAAAGAGGGAATGAAGATAGAAGCGATCGATCCACTCAATCTTTCAGCCATTTGCGCGGCAACAGTTATGCAAGTTTTGAAGGAAGGTTACATTATGATACGCATCGACAGCTACGATGAAGATGCCAGTGGTGCTGATTGGTTCTGCTATCATTCGTGCTCGCCTTGTATCTTTCCAGTCGGTTTTTGTGCTCAGCATGGTCTACCATTGACACCGCCAAAAGGTTACGATCCCACTGCATTTACGTGGGATTCATATCTGATGGAAACTAACGCCATACCTGCACCTATACAGTTATTTAATTGGGTATGGTTTCGCTACGTGCATTCCTCGGCACAGTCTTCGATTCACATTTATAAACATGTTGTTTTGAACGATTAATTGTGCATATTTTGTAGGAAATTCCCCAGCATGGATTTATCGAGGGAATGAGGCTCGAGGCTGCTGATTTGATGGATCCTAGATTAGTTTGCGTTGCTACTATTACTAGGGTGATTGGCAGGTTACTAAGAGTACACTTTGATGGTTGGGAGGACGAATATGATCAATGGTTAGACTGTCACAGTCCAGACATTTATCCTGTTGGATGGTGTGACTTGGTCGAGCATAAATTGGAAGGGCCGCGTGTGCTTGTTAAAAACACTAGTCCTACTGGTAAATATCCATACATGCACACTTATGTGTGTTATTTTTATGCATACCTTTTTATTCACGGGCGCATTTTTGCAGTAAAATCACCGAGAGGCCTTAAACGTAAAACTAAGAGAAAAATGAAGAGAGGTAACAAGTTGTCCTGCTCTAAAAATATACTACCTCGTCAGAGTGAACGAATTAATATGGCTCGCGAACAAGAACGAGAATTGGAACCTGCTCAGGGTACGAAGATCGAAAGAGAGCGCGACTTGGAAAGTCTGCCGGAGCAGAGAAGCAGAGAACCAGAACCGGCGCAAGAACCAGCTGGACCTGACCAGACTTTACCTAGTCCAACTACTGGGCAAGGTCAAGCGTTGGGCGACACTCAGAGCGAGGTACAGAATCCTCCACCACCCAAGGAAAGAATCGCTACATCATACATCAATGTAAGTAATTTGAAGCACAGTTTATCTTGTATAATATGTTTCAGAATTATCTGCGAAACGTAGATTAATATAATCAATTATCGAATTAATTTCTGATTTGTGTTTTGTTCGTAGGTGACTGTGGCGAGTAATAAATACATACCAAGGCTAGCGGATGGTGTGCATAAAAGTTCGGAATCTGGTGACCTAGTGCCATCTGAATGGAATGTTTTTGATGTTGCACAATTTCTTCGTGTCAATGATTGTGCGACATATTGCGATAATTTCAGTAAACGCAAAATAGATGGAAAGGCATTACTGACTCTGACTAAGGACCAAATAATAGACCTGACGGGCTTCAAAGTTGGACCGTCTTTAAAGATTTACGATTTAATTCAGCAATTAAAAATCAAAGTAAATCCAGCTCAGGAAAGGTTGAAATTAGGATTGAAAAAATTATTATAACAAAACTAGTATATATATGTAGTTAGTTGTATGAATGTAAGTTCCATTTCATTATACAAATTAAACATGGATTTACAGGTAAGGCATGTGAAGTAATGACAGTTGAAATCACCTCGTCTCGCTATGACCGCATACGTTATTTGTTATATACTTTATTAATGTACTGGAAAAAGAAATGTTTGTATGTAGTTTCTTTATAGTTTAAAAATGAACGTGTAAAATTTAGATGCCGTATGTGATTACTATGAGTTCAAAGAAGATGATTCCATTCTGGAAAGCAACATTAATTTGATAACGGTCTCTAAACTTACTCAATCGGGTATGATCGATTTGTTGAAATTTCTAAGATAAGGCAACGATAAATTCTAAATCTTATCTCTCTTCTAAGACTAAGATATCTAAAATACAATCAAAATCGAGGTAAAAGGCTCAAATTAATAACAACACAAATAGTAGAGCACCAGTCTTAATATACTTATTGCTGAATATATACGGTGCGCGAATACGAAAGTATAAAATATATTTTGTGCAATATCTTGCTGTGAATATATTTTGTGCAAAGTAGATATATGTACTTCAAATCACACATAATTTTTTTTTTCGTATATTAATTACCTAAACAAATATCAGTGCCATAAGTCGCACAGAATATTAAAAAGTATCTTCATGTCACATTTGTCACTTTATCACATTATGATAAAATCATTTACAATCTTCAAATGCAACTTGTATCTTATTAAGGCTGTTCCAACTTTCTAGTAAGTTAACTGATAGTTAAATATATATCTGTCTTTGTTTAAGTTGAAGGAAAAACAAAGATAGACATATGATTTATCTATCAATTAATTTACGAGTTAATTAACAAGTTAATTTACAGTTAATTTATCAATTAAGTCAATGATTAACTAAACTAGCTGGGAAAATTTTTCATCAATATAATTTTGATCTTTGTGTATGTGTATACACATACCAAAAATAAATTGTTAATCCAATATAAAACTGCATTCCAGAATGGATTCTTCTCTAAGAGTAATCATTATTGCATCTAATTTTTTATATAATGTCCATAAAATATTTAAAATTAACATTTTTTCACAATGTGTGATGTCATACATTTTATATATAATATATAAATAAATAAGAATATATATATTTATACCTGATATGTGTATAAGGAAATATGAATGTATGTATACTACACTTAAACATATTCATAAACACATAACATATTTTCTGTAATATTTTTTTTATCGAAGTTTTTCTTCCAACTTATTTGTAAATCCATGCTGTCACGTTGCACCGCATAGAAAATACGAATGCATCAGCCATATCTACAGATAAACGCGTCATGAAAATAAATTTTCTCGTATAAAACGAAATATGTAGAATTCCGAACGTGTTCGTACTTTACATATACGCAGAATAAATTAATATAGATATATTAAAAACTACTGCAAAGTACAAAAGATAATTTTGTCGAGCCAGAGTACCGATTAATATTAAACTTGTTAATGGATAATACACAGTTTTTACAAAATATATATATATATATATATATATAGTACTGTATATTTTAATAAATCTCTATCAATTTACTCTGTGTTGTAGTACATACATATATACTGTGTTGTAATACATACATATATACTGTGTTGTAACACATACATATATACTGAAGTCTGTATATAACCAGAGAAACGAGAAGTTTGAACGTTATATGTAAGTTTTGTATATATACGTGTATAGCGTGATGTTAGATTTAGGGCCGATTGGTAATTTAACTGATAATTAAATCATATGTCTCTATCTAAGTTAAAGGATAAACAAAGATAGACATATAATTTAACTATCAGTTAACTTACCAAAAAGTTGAAACAATCGGCTCTTAGTCATTCTCTCTCTGCAAACCATGACACACCTTATAAGGCGCCGAACTATCGTAGAGTGGCTGATGCGTGCGTGCGGCATATATTGTATCTATATGCATAATCATTTCTACTTTGATGAATCAAAGCAATCAGACGAAGTTAAAGGATATTGCTTCGGCTCTTGAATACTATTTTAGTACTATGGCAGTAACATGGTTACTCATATTATTTATTCGAACAGTTTGGAATCTCTCTAGAGAATGTGTTTTTTATCTCATGTTTTTTCGAGAAAAAATTGTTCGACGAACGGTGCAAATAGATAGTCGTCAATGAACATTGTATATTTCTTGTGCATGAATCACAGGATTCTTTACAGTAACATATTATTGATATATGTGAGAAGTGAAACTTTTATATATTTATCGCCATTAACTTGTACGTCAAACGAAATTACCTGAGAGATTCTGATCCTTGTTCACAATTGAATTCTCTGAGCAACGAGTCCCAAAATCAAACAGCGACATAGATATTCATTCGAACACGGGATTTGAAATATACCGCATCGTTATTAAACTTATTAAATTTATTCGATCATATATTTATTAAAGGTGGCCATCGATTGAGTCGCGATCTTAATTTAGCTGATCTTATTGTATTTCTATCTAAAGCTGCAAATATAAAAGATCAGATAAATTAATGGTTAAATTTTAATAATATATCGGCGATAACGTTTAGAAGTTTATTACATGCTCATTAGATTTATTCAGATTTTAAGTGAGATGGCGTTAATATACACGGAATTTTAATGAGTCTCGCTAGGAGATCATATTCGATATTCGATCCTCTTCCTATATAGTTTTTTGGTGACAAGTTATAAATTTACGTTTTAGTCGATTAAGAATTACATGCAATCACAAGTACAAAAGAGTAATACCGGTTACATTCTAGAGTTCATACTATGACAGTACACTTTACATCTCAACTTACGTGACAGATTGCGACACACGTAATGAGATTAAAACACATAATTGCGTAATGAGATTATGTCGTGTTTTAACTCTCAGCGCCTGTTAATTCTGAAATTTCGCAAATTTTTAAAGGAACATAGTATAACGAAGAAATGATTGCAAAAGATACGAACAATGATATAAACATTTTTTTAAATTTTGATAGTCAATACAAAAGAGTTCGAAAGTATACCACAAAGTTATGTAATACTATTTATTAATTACGTTCATCATACATCTTACCCCTCTATGCCATATTGTGGCTTACATATCAGTTCGATTTATATACGCCTCACCTTTCTTATTGCGGCATTAGACTTACGAGAGAGTGTAACATTCCACGTTTCTGCACGTGTTTATGGATAAAGATGCGGGCGATAGAGGGTTAAGAAAATAAAATGGATATTTGCCAAGAATTGTTACAATCATTATGGAACTATATCATTAGTTTTAGCCAAGTAGTTTCTTCTCGGACCGCAAACCTGAAATTAAAACATATATTCGGTTTATATTGTCGTATACATCTCAATAAAAAAAATCAAAATTGATTCGAGTGACAGATAGTACAACAAGAGGTGAACATTATTCGTGAATGATGCGAAAGATATTTCCGTGCTTCATTGATTGTTGTTATAATATTTGAGTCTTTATTGAAAAAATTGGACGTCATGCGAATCATTGATGATACAAATTATTGTCCTAAAATTATATTGTTGCTACAACTTGGCGAGGAGTTCTTAAGAAAACGAAAATTTTCGTTTACACACATCCGCACAATGCAATAACGAATCGGGGGTTTTGAATCTTCGAATGAAACATCGCGAGTATCGAATATCGAAAACAAATAAATATCGATTATTATGAGCCCCCCTGCGAATATCTTTCGCTGGTAACGCAAAATCACATCGTCCACAGACAGTAGATTCCATTACCAGCGGAGCAAAATTAATTAAGGCCTCTTCCCGCGGGATGTCGTGCTGATTCGTAGTTATTAATTGTAACGGCGCAACGAAGTAGTACGATTCGTATTGATTTGTACACCCGGAGCTATTCGCGTCGCGTCTCCCCCGTGTAAATAGCGCCGAGTAAAGACGCCGGCGACGTACGTAAGATTAGGTAAGATTAGGTAATATAACCGTATGCTGAAATGCGCGGCATGAGTAGTGCGAGACGAGCAACGCCGTTGACGTGCAGCGGTATCGCTCGTCCACTTTCGTGTTTGCGTTTGAAGCCATCCGGCGCCTCGTAAACGCTTCGGTGACGCGTCGGGCAAGTCACCGTCAAGCGAGCGACCGGCGCGACGCGACGCGACCGACGCAACGACGAGGAGGAGGAGGAAGAGGAGGAGAAGGAGAAGGTGGAAGAGGAGAAGGAAGAGGAGGTGGTAGTGGTAGTAGTGGTGGTAGTGGTGGTGGGAACGTTCGTTGTGTGTAAACCCCGATGACCGTAGCTCACACACCGTAGCGTACAGATGGTTTGCTACGTGTATACGCTACGATACGGTGGGGGGAGAGTGGGGGGTCTACTAGACTGGCGTATTCTATGGGCGGGGCTTTAGCCAGCTGGCAGATGTTTCCCGCGCGGCCGCGTTACTCCTCTAGCGTAAACCTACGCGACGCAAAGTAGTCCCCGGTCGCGCGGCCGAATATCTTCCGCCATAGCCGAGCGGTTGCACGGACGAGTTCGCGTACGGGTTTCGAGTGATACGACGAGCGATCCACGACGATACCGACCGCGAAAAGAGCCGGAATCATAAGTCGATCGCGAAGATGAGCTGACGAGGGATTGGTCCGACTGAGAGTCACCGCTCAGGGCAGTGCGAGGCGCGCGTCACCCTTGGTCGCGTCGAGTCGTCTCGACTGTACCGCGCGAGTTGCGCTCCGGGACGCGACTTTCAAGTGTCTCCCGCGAGCTGAATTCAACGTGAGTATCGCCGTGGCACACGCTACGGACGTACACGTCCGCACGACGTAACGTGCGTACTCTTGCCACGAACTTGTCGCACGCGGCCATCGTCGACGAGTAGACGCGAGCAGAGGATCTACTTGCCGCGCGCGTCGCGCGATGTTTCTACCGGCGCACGTGAACAGAACGACACGGGGAGCATCGCTCCGCATTCACCCGTCCTAACCGTCTGGAGTCCCGGGGAACCAACAGTCGCCCGAAATCCAGTGAGTAAGCGTGAGACTTGACACATTCTCGCGATATCGGGCTATCCTCGTGTTCGTGCGACTTTCTACCGTGAGTGCCCGACATTACCGGAATTCCCTCGTAAGTGACATTTGGCGAGGAGACACGCGTCGTTTGTGATTACGATCAGCCAAACAGTCGGTTGGGTTTGAAGAAAAAGAAAAAGTGTCGTGACTCTGGAGAGAGGGAGGGGACCCAGCTGAGCGCCCAGACTCGGAATCACATAGCGACGCTCCTGACGCCGGCGGCGGAGTAATCCATTGCGCGTCGTGGGGGCCCTCAGCTGTTTCCCGCCAAAGATCGCCATTACAAAACGCGTTCGGGCGTTGTGTGTGCGCGCCGCGCGGAGCGTGTGACTGTCTCGTGGACGAGTCTCGAGTGCGTGCCACCGGCGTCGGTCGAGGCGAGAAAAAGCGGGCATTGTCGCGAGACACGGCGCTAGCCGGGGAAGGTGGTGAATCGCGACGCGAGTGTACCACCGTATACGCATATTACACCGGAACGTGCGTTTGCTAAAACGCGCGTTGTTTGTCCCCCCTCCCCCTCCCTCCGCCCCGGTGGAGTGCGCGGTCGGGCGAGCGAGCAAACGAACGAACCAACGGCGAGAAAGAGTGAGAGCGACAGGGAGAAGATACACAGAGACAGGCAACGAAGCCGCCCGTCGTCTTCTTGCAACCCCGCAACGACGGCTGTGTCGGGGACGTGAAATTCGCTCGACGGGACTCTGGGACGTGCCGCGGACCAACGAGATATGTCAGTGTTTGGTGGTGACGATCGGATTTTGCTCGAGGAAATCGTCGAGGTGACTGAGCAGCCGGAGGCTGAACTGTGCGGGTGAGTCTTTTCATCTCTGCTATCTTACCGGTCGAGAGAAAAAATTGCACGCGCGCGTAGTAGCGATGAAAAGATGGTGGACACCGCCATGTGTGTATGCATGCGCCCGTATGTAATACATGTGTGTGTGCGTGTGTATGTGCACCGTGTGCCCGCGTTTGACACGGTGTGGTTATATGCACGTACGCGTTCGTTGCGCGGATGGAGAGAGTAGAGTAGAGAGACAGATAGAGAGAGAGAGAGAGAGAGAGAGAGAGCGAGTGAGAGAGAGAGAGAGAGAGGGTACGAGAGAACGAGAAGGAGGGAAGATCTTTATTGGCTCTTGAAAGAGTGTCGTGTCCGACCCGCTTATCGCTTCAACCTGTTTGCGAGCGTAACGTAGCTGCCGCCGTGGCATCGGGGCGGCGGCGGCGGTATATTGACGTCGCCGTTCGGGCTCACTAGCTTACGAAGCGCGCGTGTATATCGAGCCGCGCGAGAGAGCGAGTACAGCTGTGAAGCCGGCCGGCCGGCCGGCCGGCGCCCGTCCGATATCCGGCTGCTGGCGGCTGATGTGTGCGTGATCGTGACGCTGCTTCATAGGCAGTCGCCGCCACCGCCGCCGTCGCACCGCACCGCTTTCCGCTGGAAACGCAGGGACGCGTAGCGCCGCGCCGCTTTGCGTTGGACCGGCGCTCGCAAGTCTCCTCCGCGCGTTCCTCCGTCCGCGTTCACGCCCAAACAAGCATGGCGTGCGGGCTCGCTCGCTCGCGCGCGCGTCGGATGCATCCTTTCGCGACCAAGTGCGGGTGTGACGTCCCTTCTGTCACCGTACGTCCTGCATTCCGCTCTTTACATAATATTGGGCATTTTTTCCCCTAACGAGTTCTCCGTGCGGCGTCTGCGGGATTTACGCGCCCTTGCGCACGTTCGAAAATAATTAATACAGATGGCGGGAGAGGGAGTATTTTTCGCACGAAACTCCGAGGACCTCTGGACCTCGTATGTTATTTTCTTACTTTAATAAACTATTTTTCTGTTACATTTGGTCCTTAAACAGCATTATTCAGATTGCACAATATATTATAATAGGTCAACAGTTATGTAAATCACGCGGCACACAGTGATCGGCGAATAAGTTCCCGCGAGTTTCGTTATGTATGCCGCAAGAACGCAAAACTATCTTGTAAAATGATAAAGCGGTTCCAACGGAGCCGACGTCGCGCGTCGGCTCGACGAGGTATGTCGAATCATTTTTTTGCGTCTCCGTTTGTGTACAGCGTGAGATTTTTTGTCTCGCATTTGAGTACAACGATCGTAGAACAAAGAAGCAGGAAGACGGCGAGGAAAGTATGTTCTTTTGTGTACAGCCGAGTGACCGACAGAGCGGGGCATATATGCCGCGTGCGTTACGTAAAGCCGCGTTTGTTGCACAATAATCGGCTTCTATAAATAACTCGAAGCATGCCGCGCTTCGGCTCGACTTCTTGTTTACATACGCTCATCACCGTTGCGTCGCGCTCGCTCGTGTTGCATCCCCTCGCTGCATCTTTTACTCCTGGATCAGCTACAAACTCATTCATAGCACGCGAAAACATTTAGCCGCCTGTGTATTTATATCAAATCTGAACTTTGTACTTTGAAAAATTGTTCATCTTTAGAAACGTCGATCACCGTATATTCATATGGGCAAGAGTTACCGATAAGAGTTAATAGAATAAACGTTCGGTTGCTGCAAGCTTCGGTTATATTCGTGATGTGCACACACATTAATGATCGAATAAATGTTAATTATTAGATCCTTTCCACTCGCGTTATTCGCGTTGGAAGAGATCCTTTTCACTGTGAACCAAAAATCTCCCATTGAACGATACAGTGGAGGAGGAAAAGATGGAGAGAAGGTAATTCCTACGCGCACAGAAATAAATCGAAAATAAAAACATGTATAATCAAAGTTCTTTTTATCTCCGATTTACTTCTATACGCGGGATCGTCGCTTCCTGCTCGGATGCAGCATTGTCATTATGAAGTATCCTGTAGATAACGCAACGGCAAATATTTTTATATCGAATGGGATATCCCGCAAAACAAATCATTAAATCTCGTGTGTGTTTTATATTCCTATCGAATCGCTCGCTGTCATCGTCATTATTGCGTCACTGTTGTTTCGCCGATGTGATAAACGTCAAAGTACGCAGCATTGTCTTGTGTGTATGGTGTAAAATATATAAAACAGCGTACGCCATGTTAATAAAGTGCAACGTCGTCGTTGCTATCGGCACACATACGCGTGCGCGCGCGCACAAACGGATTATTACAATTGGTATCAAGCGTAATAAAGTCCACAAAGTGTACGCGACATACCTAATGAAGTAATAATGTCGTTTCTCATGCATCATTACTTTTCATTGCATTATTCATACGTTTCTAATCGCGATGCAGCAGCGAGAATCGATGGTGGCGGACCGAACGCGTGCATTAACGTGTCCGAATTATGCAACTTATCGTTCATTGTTTATGCTGCGTTATCTGATAACGTCATCACGCGGATTTTGCGCTACGATAAATTCGCCGTCATAGTTACGACGTGGCGTCGTGGAGAGAGACGAAGGGAAAGGGGGAGAGGGAAACTATTTCCCAAACTTGCCTCGTTGGAATGTATAACTTTGACACCGAAGTTCGCCGCAACGCACGAAATCACATCAGATATGCGCTTATCCGCTAATCGCTACAAGTACGATATCAGCCCGTTAAAACAGCCTGTCGTTGTTGCGTAATCAGTACGGTTCATGCAACTCGCGATCGCGATAAATTTTCAACCGCGCGAGCCGCACCGCCGATAAAAGCGATTTATTTCGGCGCGCACTATTTACCGGTTTATTGAAAATAGCTTAGGAACTCTTGCGTCCCGCCTGACGCAAATTACGTTTCACACGTCAAACGCACTCGTCGGTTTCGTAACGCGATCGATGAATATAGTTGCAGATTGAATACTGCGCCTTTTCTTGCTCCATTTCTTTTTTTCTTTATTCTTTCCTTTTAACCAGCACGACGCCCTTTGAACCTGGCGCTTGTGTCCGCGCAGAATCAATCGCACGACCATGTAATTATCCACTTTTACATTCCAGCCGTGTTTCATGTTTTTAGTAATGCTACTTTTGAATAATGCAAATGATACAACAATCGCAATTTTGCAATCAGGCATACATTTGATCTGGCATTTTCTTCGCTTCAGGGCGACGACGACGACGACGACGTAAACAGTCGAATACACGGCATTCCTGCATAATGCGATTCCGCAATTAATATATGCATGTTCCGTGGCACGTAAGCACCGCATATCGATCAGATAAAGATTAGCAGCGTAACCGGCGTCTGAATGATACTTCTTATCTGCGCGTGCGACAGCTACGCGAGCTATCTTGCGATATAAACGGATACCGATTCCTTCATGCTGCATATATTGAATCACGACACTGTGCGGCCCGCGTGTGCGATTCGCATTCAAAGACGAAGCGCGCTTCTCTCCCTCTCCCCCCTCTCTTTTTCTCTTTTTCTGTCTCTCACTTCGATGCAGTTTTCGCGTTTGCGCTCGTTCGTGACTTAACAAACGGATCGAGCAAATCCTGACCACGGTCAAAGTAGCGACACCATATCACACGTACGATGCTTTTTAAGTATGCGCGCAACGCGGATACGTTGTACGTCGTCGTGTGTTATCGTGTGTTGTCGTCGTCGATGCATACGATCGAGGAGAGGCGCAATATAAAGCGAGAGGCGCGACACAGAGCAAGATGCAGCGAGTGAGTTATATCTTGCACGATGCACCTACTTGCACCGAGTTAACCTCTGCATTTGGGTGCGCATGCACCCGACGGAGCTGCATGTCATATAACGTTCGTTCCGCGGTACGGCGCAAATCACGGGCGCGTCATACGCCGAGGAGGCACCGTTGAGCGTGATGAGTTCTTATGGTGCAATGCTTCAAACGTCGCTATAATTAATACGAATTCTTTCTACTTGGGAGAGTTGTAATTATATACTTTGGGGAACGCGCGATCAAAAAATTTTGAACAATTTGCGGAACCAGTCGTTGCGTACAGGTGGAATTGCGCGTCCCCTGCGAGTTACGTCGGTCTTTCTCGCGTTAATGGCATCGCACTTAGGCGCTAATTATCGCCATCGAAGGGACGCACGACGCTAGAGTTCGCGGTGCGTGCGGTTGGCGGGAACGTCGCGGTGTGTCACGTCGTTGCACCGTGAAATCTCTCAATCGTTTATACGGCTTCGTCTAGGAATGGACTTAACACCTGCCGCAACTGCATAATTTTTTTTTTCAATCTCGTTATCCACCGTACTTCCTGCCGGCGAAGTTAACCAGGTTGAACAACTCGCAACCGTCCGTTCTTGCCGCGATAAATGCGATTCTATCGTTTCCGGACCCGTGCCTTTATCGTTCATGTAAATACTACGACGAATGATAGGTCGCTGTTTGTGGTATAACGTCCGTAATAGATAGGAGAACGCCATCGTGATAGATGTAAGTGGACAAAACGGGTCTTTATTTGAGTGTCTACCTGCAACATGGTTTCGCAATATTGTTCTCAAGTATGGATGTGTGTGTGTGTGTGTGTGTATGTGTGCGCGCGCGCCTGTATATTCCAACTGTTGGTTGTCCGCGCAGTGGCGCTATTAATTAATGAAAGGAATACCTAGTTTCATTACTCACTTTACGAAGATAGAACTATAATGATGAATGCGAGTAAACAGATCTTATTTTAAGACGCGGTCGCGTCGAGTCGCGATAATTGCACGTGCCATGCGCAGACAACGTTTCCTTACAATGACTTTACGATACCCTGTTTCTGTCCCTGTATCGCGAATTATCAGAAGAGGATTTGATATACTGCTCTCTCTCCGATTCGATTCACGAGGAAATAGAGGAGCAGGAGCTACCGCGATAGATGCAAATAGACAATACGGGTCTTTATTTTAGGAACCAGCTGGGAACACGGCTTCAC